GATATCTACACTAAACTGTTGTCAGATAACTAATAGTGAATCCCAATAACCAAATAATCACTTCAAACACATCTTTAGTAAAAATATTTTCACTTTAAAAAGTAGATAATTTTCAGTCAAATATTTTGTTGTAAATTTTTCAAAATATTTCCGACCGACAAACTTTGAAAAATTCCTGTTCTTAAAGTATTGATCCGATCTTGATGAAACTTGGATTCTGGTGCCTAAGGATGTGAACTTAAATTATGAAACTAATTTCAGAATTTTATCTTTACGGATTCATCGTGAGGCAATTAGGTTTCCATTTAATCCAATATATAATAATAATTTCTATTTAATCTTTTGTAAGATTAAGTATACATGTAAATAGTTATACGATATAGAAGTTATACCCACTCACAATCTATGTGCGAATATATGATATGTTTCGTTTTATCATTTAATTTTGTTACAATGTAACAATGTATTAATACTAATTTTACTCAATAATTTTATCCAAATAATATGAATACAAGAAATTATATTTATTTCAATTGATAGATAATCAAAATGTTGTTCCTCGTGGTCGTTTTATTTTGCTTATCATGGCTTCCGTTACAACTATTTAATCTACTCAAAGAGATTTTACCACAAATTCTTGAGTATGTCTACCATTATTTCCTATTGTTTAGCAAATCATTACATAACCAAACAATTTATATTTATATATAATGTGACTGATATGAGTGGTGGGGTAATAAAATTTGTGATTCATAATTATATTAAACAAAAATGAATTAGGTTTTAAAAGCATTCACTTATATTTCAAGGGCAGGTAATGATTAGTTTAATAGTAACTTGTATACTGTATCATAATTCACTATAAATAAAATTATGCCTATTCCTAATCTATAGTATCAGATTAATTGTGGCCGTTATTTATAATATGGGTCATTATTTGAATTTCTTAGAATTCTAATATTATATATAATACTAAATTAGATATTATAATGTATTTAATTATTTATAATAATAAATCATAATGGTCTAAAACAGTCTTATAGACATATCTAAAACAGTCTATAAGGTATTAGACAAAACACTACAATTATTTACCGTAAACTATTGAAAAAGCATATGAAAACAAGCATACAATATAAAAAGCATATGAAAAATAATACTTTAGCTGTTTACCACGCTCAAACTTTATCCAGGATAAATTATCCTTAATACTGTCTAATATAATGTCTATAACTAATATTTTTATTTAAGAAAATTTCATAATAAACAAATTCACCAAGAATACTTAAAATAACTTAAATGTTTGCTAAATACTCTAGAAATTACAAGTAGGTACTGTATTGTACTCTCAAGTCTTAAGAATTAATAAATATAATTACCTTTTTGTTTTTCCTCTTAATGTTAATATTGTTGACTCTAACCGTTTGAATGATCTCTTCTTGTGGTGCGCTTAACACTAAAGCCATCCGCAGATATGTATACGATATGACACACAAAGGTATGAAATACTGGATGAATACCAGAGCACTGCTATAAGTGCCAAATAGAGCTGTCATTAGGATTGTGTTTTGACAGTGCGGTAATGTTTTCGTATCTGTCAACTCATCACGTATTAATTGGACCTTTAATTAAAAATATGGTTCAAAATTAGTTATACATCTAGTTATTACTTAGATATTATAGCTTCAATCATTCATCTATATATTACAGAATATTCCGGAAAAATCAACAATTAAACAAAAACTCATTTTAATACTTTGCACAGAATCTGACAAAATATTTGAACAAAATTTGTTGTTGATATATTGCAAATGTTTGTAATTTAATAAAAGATAAAGTTAAATTAAATTCGTAATTAAAACTAGTAATTAATTCACATATAATATGAAGACTATAGAGATGTCTATCAATTCAATACTTTAATTAACACTGTATTATAGGTCGTTAGGAAATTGGAGATTAACAGCAATTACTTTAAACTGACTCAATCTATCTCAATTTAGTTCAAATAAATTATTAGCTAATAATAAGTAGCATCATATTACATTTGCATTTGTACTAATAAATATGAAATGCAATAATTTTAAATCATATTAAATATTAATCAGTATTTTTATTTGTGTATAACATTCAAACAGAGAATTTTTTATTGCTATAAAATTGTAATCAATTATAAGTAAAATTCATTAAATTGTCACAAAAGAGACTAAAATCAATAGGACTTAAATGTTTGAATGCCTCAATGCCTCTATAAATAAAACAGAAAATAATACTATCGGTAACACAAATACAGTATAATGTAGTAATAATACAAAATACGGAATAACAACAATATTACATCCATTTTGAAGTCTAAATTATTTTATAAATATTTTTAACCACAATTCAGATATGAATAATTTAGTTTATAGAATTGTTCGGCTACCCCTTGAGCATCACCCAAATTGTAGTTAAGGTATTATATCGCTATGTGAGCCTAGTTTTATTTTGTTATGCATGTATATTAAATAAACTAGATAGAAGAAAGGTATCTTAGTTATTTACACAAATAAGACAACACAACGCGTTGCAAAACAACACAACTACTTATATTGTGATTCATTAATAATTCATAATTTAAATAAATGATTGTTTTGAGAAAATAAATTATTTAAACATTACTTACTTTTAATGTAATTATTGTGGGAATTGCTAAGAGTATGGAAAATAGCCAAATGCAAAGTATGGTGACCTTAGCGTTCAGTTTGGACACGTGGGCCAGAAGTGGATATTTAACGGCCCGATACCGCTCTATCGCTATGGCTGTGAGCGTATAGACAGAGTTGGAAACAGTGATAGTTTGAATGGTTGGACACAAATAGCACATGAAATCTGGCAAAAGCCAGCGCTTCAATAGAGAGATCTGGAACTGAAACGGTATGACCAGAGTTCCGATCAAGATGTCGGAAAGGGCCAGATTTGCGATGAACACGTTGGTCGGCGTACGCATACTTCGGGCGCAACCGACGATCCAAATGATCATTGAATTGCCGAATATGGCCAACAGTGACGACAGGCAACAGCACCCAAACGTTACCGTTATTATGAAATTGTTTGCAGCCGTCCCTTGGCTTTCGGCCAACGCTTCAGTAGTGATGTTCAACTGGTTGTTCATCTCATTGTAATGTATACTGAGATTAAAGAGATTATGGTAATTTGAAATACTTTTATGAATAATATATTATAATTCCTTAAAAGCGAAATAATAAGTTTAAATTTTGTATAAAAGCTTTTTATATCTAATTAAGTAGTGATGGAGTGATGAAAACTGATATTAAACATCTCATTACATCATTCTTATGAAAGTAATCGATGCAGTGCTAAGAATTCGGTTACAATAAAGTGTTAAATTTATGCCACAAATAATTATTATGTGCTAAATAAGCCATTTTTATGACAAGTTTAACTATATTTTGATTATAACACATAATTAATCAAATAAATTGCAAAAATTAAACAAATGGTGTAAATAATGTTTAGATAATTAAATGATTATAAAAACCGAATTCAGTATAAATTGACAGAATCTGATTGAAAGAGACGGTTAACTGCGCCGACACACTAAACACTCGCTTGAAGTAACAATTCTGTGCACACAATACACCAATTGTACATAATATCTATTTATATACTTAATCTGAACGATAAAACAAATGCGCTCAAAAATTATAATCAATTCATTAGTGAATGAATTATAAAGACAAAATATATGTTTTTGTTGTTGTTTTTTAAGCGTATGAAAAGTAAAGCTTTAAAATTGTGCGAATAGTTAACAATAAGGAGTTAATTGGAAATCTCCAGAATATTCTGCTAATAGAGTAAACAACAGAATTGAATGTGTATTGGGTTTCGCAAGTTTTGTTCACATTAGTCTGGAGATCACATGTATTGTGAATGTGATTCTGGGATTAAAAACAATTATTTTTGTTCACTATATTATGTGACATAACCTACAGATAACGTAATTACATATATTTTTAATACCCAATTAAATAACTCTATTATACTTTAGATCAATATTTTGATAATTGAAAATTACATTTAATTCGCTAATTATAAGCATTAATCTATACAATGCCTGAAGATATTAACAGAAAAATCATTAAAATACAATAAATGTGTTGAAAAATACAAATGTTTTGATAAAAAATATTTTTAAAATAACGTTAAAAGTAGTGTTTTATACATATTTAATAGGAATTAAAATAAAAATCTAGTTAGAAATCTAACCATTCGATATCATCCATGAAATAGATCTGCATTTCATTGTATTTAATGTTTTTCACAATTAAATCCAAATAATTAGCGACGCGTTGAATGTATTCATTCAATTCATTGTACGATTGTTGGTCTTTGGGATCAGTGATGGCCGCCATTGTCTGCTCAAAGTGTGCCAAACATTCGTCCATCTGTTTGGACACGTGTTTCAGACATTCGATGTGTTGGTCAGTGGACTCTTCGCCTGAGGCCGATGTCTGCGTCCCTTTAGAGTTGGTTAAGACAAACAGCTCTTCTTTAAGAGCAATGTTTTCCGCTCTTTGTTTCTCCAATTGAGCCATAATTGGTCTCAAAGTGCGGTCATATTCTTCGGCGAAGTATCGCTTCAGACCATTGATCCACTCAAACGGCCATTCATTGCATGTGTTCTTCAATTGAATCAATTGCGAGTAAAACGCAGACATTTGGCGCTCGATGTCAGCCATTGTTGTCTGGTTTTGGTCACCGTCTGATCCAGTAATCAGTTTAATGATCTCTTCGACGGCCAAAGCCTTCGCCTCCTCCGAGTGGTCCGCAGAATCGGTCGGTGTGTCCGACGACTGACAGCCCGTCGGCGAGAGTACACACCTCTGCGACAGAGACGGCAACGATTGCGTCGACCAATACTTCGGCCGCACTCTCGGCTCGTGTGACCACTCGATGGAAGCGTCCGATTGGCTGCCAAACGGCCGATACTGACCGCCGCGTCGGCCGCCGCCCACGTCTTGACCGGTGGTCAGCGCCGGCTCTCCACACGTCGACCAATCGGACAGCGATTCCTGAGTGCCAAAGAGGAAGCCGTCGGGCGATAGTGGCGGCGATCTGTCGGCCGCCATGTCTTGGGAACCGCTGGTTGTTTGCGACAACCGGTGGTCACGTTGTCTGTCGTCCGACTCAATGGCGAAACACTTGTCGACAATACGTCTGGTTCTGTGCGTCCATTGGCTCTCCAATTGGTGGTGTCTTTGGCTGTGTTTGTCCATCGGATCCAATGCTTAGTTGATATCAATCACTGATTATGTCTTCAATTGTTTTGTAAAAAAAAGTTTTGTTTTTCAGTTTTGCATAGAATTTGAGTGACTATTGACTCATGAGTTGAGAGTGTATTGAGTGTTGAGTTTGTGGTGAGAAAAGGCGTATAAATGCATAGCTATTATGCGTTCAGTTATGCCTTTCTTTCGCTAACACTTTAAACACTAATTATTAATACATTTGTATTGATTTTGAATTCAATTCTTAACAATTGGTAACAGAGTTTGTGAATGAGTTTACAATAAGTTTATTGTAACTGAATTTTATAGTTATAATCAAATATTAAATATTTATTTTATTAATTAATACAACATTTATTCATTCGTATACAAAATTATAAAAAATAAAATAAATTCAACATGATCGTGACTATCAAATTTTTAATTCTGTACTGCATAGATTATAATAAGCAAGGTTATTCACAATCATTTTGTAATATGTTGAATTCAGATAAATCCATCTTAATCATTTAGATATTTACAGGTGATTAGCAGGCAATCACTGAACCATCATGCTATAAGCAATAAATTATCACATAATACATGTACAGTATATTTACAATAACCTTAATATAACAAGGTTGTATTAAATGTTTGATGCATCTCAACACTAATGTCATCATTGATGGCAGGATTGTCTTTGTTAGACATGTATAACCTCTGGAACAGATCGATGGCGACCACAACTATGAGCGCCCATATAATGAAGAATAGGTTACAGTAGATGAGAGCGTTGGGATCAGTGGTCATATATATGGACATAATTGAGGGCACAATAGCTGTGACTAAACCGGTCTCCCATATGAAGAAGAGTCCGATCAGATTCGAGAGAGGAGTCACCTCTTCGATGATCTGAAAGGAGGCGGCGGTGAGCGGACCCAACCCAACACCAAACACCGCATTGCCCACCAATAGTGAGGTCTCTGTATTGAGTGTTAGGAACAGTATCTGCGAGACCAGCATAAGTACATTCCCCACAAATATCAAGTATTTGGCGGCGAAATAGTGGGCCAAAGGTATGCAAACGACTCGCGAGACAATGAACGCCACGGATCCCACTTCCGATAGGAGTGAGGTCTGGGTTTTAGTGGCGTTTATCTTGATTTTGGCGTAAGTGGCGATGTTCTGGAACTGCGACCACTGCAATGTCTTACAGCTCACGCATAGATAGCCACCCATTATAATAATGAACAAGATCGATTTGGAGGGCATGAAATCGGTGACAAACACACCACTCATTTCCTTCAATCGGTGCCGCAATTTACTGTCCATTGACTGAACGGCACGATTGTGGTCGCCCTTCACCTCTTCCCTAACGTACGGCTTAATGAAGTAAAGACTTCCCGTTAAGAGACCCAAAGCCCCAGCAATGCTACCTATTATGGCGTACGGGATGTAAAGCGTTTGATTGATCGCTTGGACTATTGTGACGTCCTCTTCCGTGCAATTGTAGACACAATCGGCCACTTGTGTGGGAACGTCCACTACAAACGGTGTGTACAGTACGGGTGATATAAATGAGGCCACACTTCCGATACAGTGGATAAACTGCAAGTATGGCCCGCAGTCTCTGCCCCACATCTCGGCCGTCCATATATTGGCAGTCAATTCAAGGCCTCCCGTCATGAATCCGTTGACAGCAAAGTTGAGAAACAAGACCTGTACCAATTTGAGCCACGGCACCAATACCATAGTTACACCTATGGTTACCATCAAGTAAAGTACAGCAATTTGCCGGTTCACTATATTAAATATCAATCCATCTAATGGAACAATTAGGGTATTATTTGGTTATAAAAATTAATTAAATGTTCAAATGATCTATTTAAAATGAATAAAATTAATGAATGACTTACTAGAGGCTCCGATAGCGTACCCGATGTCCCGATAAGTGTTAACAAACGATATTTGGCTATAAGTGGTTCCGTAGACGAGTTGTAAATCATTAATCGTTAAACTCGTCAAATAGTTACCAAATTCCTATGAATTAGTTATAAATTAATTAATTTAATGTTTAATTAAAAATTATCAAAATATTTACGTGCATAAAGTAAACGAAACCCAATAATACTGTTAATACATATCTATATCTCTTTGTTACTAAAACATAATGTGTATCATTTGAGACAACCATGGTTATAATTAGCGATTTTACAATAATGACTAAATATTATTGTAAAACAATAATTATAATTATTTAATACATTAATTAAGTAATAAACTGAAGTACAATACACTAACTTTGTACGTAACTAATCTGTTGATAAATTGAAAAGTTAAATATTATTTTAAATATTATTTTTTAATAATTAATAAATGGTTTAATAAGGGCAATTCTTGACTCATATGAATTGATATTCCATGTTATGGTGATATTTTTCTGATCACTTTTGTTGATAAAATTGTTTGCATGTATTTTTAGTAATTTGGAAATGTTTAATATTATATTTCACAAATCACTTACAAAGCACTTGTTAGCTATTATTGAATAAAGATTATTGAAATAGAAAAGTTAAAATGACTTTCTATTTCTACCTGATTCATACCATTACATCGATTATAAAGAAAGCTAATTAAAAAACGTAACAATCTTATTAATGCTGTTTAATTATTATAATTATAATATACCATAAATATTTATATTATTATTTATAAATCTAATTTACAAAAAAAAAGAATTATTTTAAATTTAAGGCACAGAATATTTATAATGTTAAAAACTTATGAGTGCATCAAAGTGTGGCCATTGGCTAACATACCTCACACCCAACTGGCCGTACATCATACTGTAGTTTATTGTACAACGAAACAATATAGTTGAATTGTGCCCACTGTATGGCTATCTCTACCGAACGGGCTGTAGCTTCCGATGTACAAGCGTTCACATACAACGAACATACCGTATAAAATGACATAACTTTAGTGGCATGACCTAACTTTACATACTGTATATTACTTTGTCAAATCCTAAGTGATTTTTAATAATCGTGGATAATGTTACTTACCT